AGTCAATATTTGAGACTAGTTCAGTTCCTATTCTTCAAACAGCACAGGGTAAAAGCTTTACATTGATGAGCTCATGTACTTTTGCATCACACCCAAAAAAGAGTCAGAGGTGTCACAAACTCCTACAAAAAATGCTTCTGTGGTAATATGACACTGAAAGCTTTGGGTAAATTCATCCATGTCAACAAATGCAAAGAAATGCATGCAGAGACTGGAGAAAATTTGACTGGAAATACAATAGCAGCTGAAATTCCCCCTGGCTCTCACCATTAGGAAATCTTTCTACACTTGTCAGTTTTACTTTCAGCATCCTGGAAAAGCACTTTCTGTTCACAGCAAACTGTCACCTCACACTATACCCATTTTCTACATCATTTTGAACCTACTGAACAGGAGGCACTTGTTGACCTACACTTTCCTTCATTGTGAGCAAAGATTTATCCTCTCAAGCAGTTAAACCATGACAAGACCTTCACTTCTACCTTTGGTAAGGAAACACTTCAACTATTTTTGAGAGAAACACAGTGTCACCTAAACCTAACCCATTTACACAATTTCCACATCCTTCACAGAGCTGATTTGTGAGCAGGGTTTTCCTCTGAAGAAGCCAGAATGAGGATGAGTCAATGTATTTTCCAAGAAGCAGCACAGAAGGTACCAATCAGTGCAGTGACACTGCTTGAAGGGAGATCCCCCCATCTCTTGTCTCTAGGAAATACTAGAACAAGGTAGAGGAACACCAGAGACACACAAAATATGCCAACTATCACACTGCTTTAGCCTAATTTATCTGATCTCCAGAGGCATCAACACCCCTCAGCATTTTGATCCTATTTCAAAATCCCCTGACTATCAATTTACACCAAATGAAATGTCTCTCCTACATTTAAAACTGTCCTCCTGCACTGATTTTAACTAAATTACCCTTCAAAAGAAAAAGCTGCTGCTTGGAAACTAGAAATAGACATCAAAACACACACATGAAATTTTCCTGTTAACTGACATTGGCCTAGAGTAAAAATGTCCAAAGAATGACAAGGTTTGTTTTTTTAAAACTATTTACTCCTTAATCCTGAAGAGGTCTGTTGATTCACAGCCACTAAAAAACCCTGAAGACAACAGCATTTGTCAGAACATTCCACTTGATTCAGGGTAGAAACTCTTAAAGGCTCTTAAATGAAACCCATTTTGGCTGTGCCTCGTGCCAGCTGATTCACAGGGCTGTCACACACTCCAGAGACAGAAGCTGTGGCTAAGCTGAGAGGTCCTGAGCTGCTCCATGGATCATCTCCCTGCAAGGATTCAGGCTTGAGGACAAGGATTTGACAAGCACAGCGGGAATCCTGCTGGATCCATACTCTGAAGGGATGGTGGGGTCTCTCTGGCCATCAGCAGTGGTGGTGTGCTCACCAGCAGGTCCTGCAGACCCTGTTTTCATGCTGTAGGTGATCAGCTACTCCAGCAGTGCCCTGAGCATTTTGTCCAGACACACACGACAGACACAAGGAGCTTGAGTATATCCAGACAAGAGAACAGAGCTGGGGAAGGGTCTGCAGCCTCAGGAGCAGCTGAGGGAGCTGGGAAGGGGCTGAGCCTGGAGCAAAGGGGGCTCAGGGGGGACTTTGTGGCTCTGCACAAGTCCCTGACCGGAGGGGACAGCCAGGGGGGGGCTCAAGTTCTGCTCCAGGGAACAGGGACAGGAGGAGAGGAAATGGCCTCAAGTTATACCAGGGGAGGTTGAGCTTGGATATTTGGAAAATTTTCTTCACTGAAAGAGTTTTCAATCCCTGGAACCGCCTGCCCAAGGCAGTGGTGGAGCACCCATCCCTGGAGGCATTCAAAGGCCATGTGGATGTGAGACTTGGGGACATGGTTTAGTAGTGGCCTTGGAAGTGCTGGGAGAACCAGTTGGAATTGATCTGAGAGGGCTTCTCCAACTGAACTATTCAACGAGTCTGTGGAAAAGAGCTATGAAAAATCAGCTTTGGTATCTAATTGTTAAAAAAGCCAAATGCAGTTTTGGGTGACAAAGAGACACCTCACTGGAAAACACTGAAAAACAGCAGCAAAAACATTTTTTTAAAAGGCCACACAACATTTTTGTAATGCACTGCAACAGAAGCTCCCAGTATCCTTATCCCAAAAACATTACTCTGCATTATCCCTACAATAACACTGGACAGGATGCAACTTCCACCATATTTCACTCTTATCCAAGTGTAATTACTGAGTGGCTAATTTAACCACTGTCACTGATTAATTAGAATAAAAAAGCCAGAAGCAGAACTAGCATAATACAACAAAACAAGATTAAGCTCCACTGGAATCTACTCTGAATATTTTTTAAAATTCCATGTCAACAGACATTTCCTTTTTGCAAATTGTTTGTGAGCAGTTATGTCCCTATTAGAGAAACATCTGGAGTCTTTGTTTTTGAATATACTTCTCAACATTTGAGATTGACCTTTTCATTTCTAAATCAGGTTTCATCCAGATCTCTTTGGGAAAAAAAAAAAAAAACAAACCAAAAGCCATTGCTGGTTTCCAAATACAGCAGCTGCCAGCTCACTGTACCTTCTGAAAACCCCTGAACTACAGTTCAGGGGGCCTCCTGAACACTGCTGAATGTGTCACAGAATCACAGAATGCTTTGGGTGGGAAGGGACTTTGAAGCCCATCCAGTGCCACCCCCTGCTGTGAGTAGGGACACCTTCCACTATCCCAGGTTGCTCCAAGCCCCATCCAACCTGGCCTTGGACACTTCCAGGGATCCAGGGACAGCCACAGCTTCTCTGGGTATCCTGTGCTAGGGCCTCACCACCCTCCCAGCCAGGAATTCCTTCCCAATATCCCATCTAACCCTGCCCTCTGGCACTGGGAAGCAATTCCCCCTTGTCCTGGTACACCATGCTTTTGTCCCAAGCCCCTCTCCAGCTCTCCTGAAATCCTTTAAGGCCCAGTAAGAGGCTCTGAGCTCTCCCTGGAACGTTCTCTTCTCCAGGTGAGCACCCCCAGCTCTGCCAGCCTGGCTCCAGAGCAGAAGAGCTCAAGTCCACATCATTGAGAACTGTTGAGCTTCTCATCCACCAATACCCCACGTCCTTCTCCTCCTCCTCCTCCTCCTCCTCCTCCTCCTCGGGACTGCTTTGGATCCATTCTCTGCTTGGCCTCTGAGCTTCTCATCCACCAATACCCCACGTCCTTCTCCTCCTCCTCCTCCTCGGGGCTGCTTTGGATCCATTCTCTGCTTGGCCTTTATCTGTTCTTGGAATTGCCCCAGTCCATGCAATGGACCTTGCACGTGGCCTTGTTGAACTCCACAGGGCTCACAGGGACCCCATCTCACAAGTTTGTCATGGAGAGTTCTTCCAGAACTCCCTTTCCAAAGCCACGTTTCTCCATACTTCTCTCTATTAAGTACATCTCTTCTTCAAAACTCCTCACACATTCAGCAAGTCTCACTTTTTAAAAACTCCTCTTTCTTCTTCTCCTCGCTAGACCATTCCCATCTTTCATCTGAATTTCCTGAACTTCCATAACACTCTGCTAACATTCTACCTTCCAAAATCCCTTTATAATCATTCAATCACATCAACTCACAACCCTTCTACTGTGTCTCCTCCACAGCTCTCCTTTTGTGCATTCAACCTTTCTCCCATCCCAGCCAGTCCTCCCAAGCTTTAGAGAAACTCAACTGGATGTGGCACGACCCCAGCAAGAAGGAAATGCATCCCATAAACACCAGACTGACCCAACTGGTTTATGCAGGAAGAAAACACAGCAACCCCTTTTTGACTAAACAGTACATAAATACAAGAATTTTACCTCTCCACAGCTCTGACAGAAACCAGAGTATCACGTTCAGTTTTGTTATTGCTCATTTTGTAAAGGATGTTCCAATCAGTAAGTACATGACACAGAGATTCGAGGGCTACAGGAAATGCCTGTGAGATTTTATTATTTTTTTTTCAGCTCAGGCTATTTGTCCTACTTGATCACAACCGCTAAAAAACCTTTGCTATGGAAAAAAAAAGGAAAATATTAAATGTTATTTAATCTGGTAAGGAAGCTCACAAAATTAGCTGTGACAAGAAACTGAGAAATACAAATGAGAAACAAGATGTTTTTATGTTTTCAAATAGCCGAGGAAATCAACTCCTGAATTTGTCAAAAAGTGGTGGGATCTCAAACTTTTCATACCTCCAAGAAGAGGCAGCATGAATTTTCCTTTGACAAAGAAGTAATGAACACAAAATACAATAACCACACAAAATTTGAAGATTTCAGTGTACACTGAAATGAATTACAGAAGTCAAAGTCTTGGACTTTTTTTGTCTGGTCCTATAACCCAAGCTACATTCATTTCAGGTTTCATACGTCAAATACTGAGCAAAACAGGCCAAGGAAAATGGTTCAAATGAATTCCACGAAAGCTCTCGGGGTTGTGTAGCCTTTGGCAGTAACCCCTGTCCTCCAGATTTCCATCTGGTAGTTGTCCATTTCTATTCATTTTTGACAGAAGCTAAAAAAATAAACAATTGGTTTCTGAAGCTCAAACACCAGGATCAGGTCTGAAATGTTCATTAGCAAGTTCTTGGAACCTTCCAGTGGGAGGTGTCCCTGCCCATGGCAGCAGGGCTGGAACTGGATGATCTTTAAGGTCCCTTCCAACCCAAAACATTCTGTGATTCTGCGATAAGTCTGATTGTTCAGCCACACAAAATTATTTAACTCATGCTCTACTTGCTGAGCTGATTTTTTGGCCAATCATTTCTGCTTTTGAGAAATAAACCTTTCCCCTCCAGGAATCTTAGCACTTCAAAGCCACCTCCAGCTCATATTTTCCCCACGTAAGCATTTCAAAAGTCTTCAGAACTTGAAGGTCTGAACTCTGTGGCTCTCACCCTTATACTGCACTTCAACACAAGTACTTTAAGAGGGGCATTTTTGAGGGCAACCATTGATGTATTTTTAAAAATATGGATGTTTGCAGAACTTACCTCTTTCTCGGTATCCCTGGATATACAAGTCCACTGGTTTTCCTTCACACTATATGCCCAGAAGTCAGCCAGATCCTGAGTTCCATCCCAGCCACCAAACAAATAAACAGTTTCTATTAAAAAAAAAAAGTTAATTTTATTTTAAAATGAGAATGTGTTTAAACAGGCTAATGCCTACAAAACATCTGTGACAAAGACAAACTATCCGAACATAAATTTAAACTCTTTTTTTTTACTTAAAACACCACTGCTCTTTGAATGGAACTAGTCATCAAGAAAAAAATGTGGTTTGGTTTAGTAATGGAAGATTTTAGGATTGATAGACAGCCAATTCTCAGAGTCATTTTCTATTTCCACATTTACATAAGAGGCAATCAAACCCACAGCCTTCTGATTAAAATTCCAGACAGACAAATGAACAATATTTAACATTTTGGATCCTGTGCATGTAGTCTATCAATGACATCTCAGCCTGTGCCCTGTTTGGTGCAGGATTTATACATCAACAAGATTTCAGAGATAGGAACAGCAAAGTTTTTCTGTTTAGTCCATCCCTTACATAGAAAAATCAAGTACAAAATCCTCTTCAAGGGAAATGTCTTGCATAAAGTAACTTACCCAATGCCACAAAAGCCAATGAGTACAAGTCACAAATTTAAGTCAGTGTTTCAGGGCTGTCACCTCAAACCCACAACTGCTCTGTGTACAGCAAGTTCTAAGGCTTCCCAGACTCACTGATAAAGCCAGATGAAGCCTTTGAAAAGGGGAAGCATTTAAGAAAGGAGTTTCTGTTCTGCCATGGAGAGATAACCAAACTGCTCCCATTATGGAAACAGCACTATCTGGTCTCAAATTCTAAAAATACTTCATTTTTAGACTGCATTAAAACAGAACACAAAGCCAAGCCCAAGAAGAACAAGCTCCTCAAGACTTGCAGAGCTTTGAAAAACTCCTTTAAAATCCACAAACCACTTCTATTATGGAGGTAATGGCCAATTTTTAATCCAACACCAATTAAAGTGCGGAGTTAGAGTGCGATTATAAAATGGGACTAGTCCCTGACCCTTACCTACCATCAGGATAGTGGTCATCACCATGGAAAGGTTACCCTGGTTCATTAACTTTAATTACCCTTCCTCCTGGACTCAGGGCTCCCAGTGTTCGCTGCAAAGAGCAGGTCCCTTTGTGCACATAAATTCTCACAGCTCACAAAACCCACATTACCACAACAGCTTCATTGATAGCCGAGAAAAATAAAAGATTTGGCACCAGCTAAAAATCCTACTGGGGCCTTGCCAAAATGTCAGGCCTGCCTGGAAAGGCTTTGTTGGCTCACATGAAATTTAATAGCAAACCTGAATGACTCTGATGAAAACTCAGATTTTGGAAGTTACCTAACCCAGGCTAACAGAATTCAATGTGAGCACTGAGAGAAGAGCACCCAGCTGGTGCTGAACATCCCCAGAGCAACACCCTGAACACAACTGGACATGAACTCTGTGCCAGACCCATTTTTCATCATGAAGTAAAACTGTAGCTCACATAAAAGAAAGGCTCCATCACTATCTAGACCCAATGAAAACAATTTTTTGTTCACTGCCTTGTTGCAGAAGTATATACATATTTTAGAGGAAGGTTCCATGTTTTAAAAGGAGTATTTCTTAATGCACAAATGCATCTGTTGCTGGTAATGTCAAGTAAATAATTTTTTATAGTTCTCCTAAAATTTGTAATTGTTTTCCCATGGTACAAAGCAAAAAAAAATAGTTGTTTGGTGGTTTGTGGGATTGTTCTTGTTTGGTTGGGGTTGGGTTTGATTGTTTTGGTTTGGTTGGGTTTGAGTTTTTTGGGGAATTTAAAGGATTTTTTAAAGTGAAACTTCACTCTATTTCCCAACCAGTATCACTGCTTGTATTCTAGCTGTTAATTCAGATTTTATGGGAGGGGTTAGTTTCACCCTGCATGCAGAGACCCAACCAGGACAGATATCAAAGGGCAATATTCAGAGAAGAGGACAGAGGCCACAAACCCCAGGCAGCAGCAGTGGAGCAGCTCAAGGGGAGCCCAGCAGTCTCACACCAATTTAACTCTGGTAGCACTGGGGAACTCAAGGAGGAAAGGATCCTCTCTCTGCATCCAAGCAATATGGAACACAGCAAATTGATGCTGCTTTATTAAAGCAAGTCTCTATTCAGCTTTAGGAGCAGAGCAGGAGAATTTTCAAACCTAGCTGCAAGGCAACAAGAAAAAAACATGAAAGCAATTATATTTACCCAAAGCTTTTACCAGCTACGTTTAGGAAGTCAAATTTCTCCTCCAGCATCCTCAGCTTATTTCCTCTACATTTTTTTCTGAATACAAATTCAACACTTTGAATTAAATATGTTCTTTGAGTATTTCTAAACTGCTTGCTCAGTCAAAAATTTTTCTGTAATGTCTGAGTTCTTTTCTTCCCTTACTCTCTAAATGATTAAAAGGTGCCAGAGAAGTCCTCAAATTAGAGGACATACATTCCCAACAATCTACATATTTCCTGTCAATCTCTCCTTAATTTCTATTTCTCAGAAAAGCAGCAAAGCAGCCTTCTCCAACCCATTCAATATGAAAATTCCTGGGGTGGTTTTCAGTCCAGGTTCACACACATTCTCAGGGACATTTCTCTAACTCCTTTTATCTCCATTTTCTCCATGTGGTGAAATCCTTGGTGGTATTCTGCTACAAGAGATCTTCTTCAATGAGTACATTCCAGTCCTGGTGACATATTTAACTACATTCTTTGGTTAAGTAGTATTTCCATGTCTCTGCTAGAACAGTTCTCCGCGGAATAGAAGAGAATTGTGGATCCACAGCACTTCTGCAAGGTTCATCAGTCATCCCCCAAAACCCTCACAGGAGGACTAACTTCAGCAGAGACCATGTTGCCCAGGGAATTATTCAGTTATACTTTGTCCAAGGATGGACATTTCAGATGGGATCCCTGCTGCAATGGCTAATTAACTTCATTACAATTTTTTCCCTCTAATATCTAACAGGATTTTCTCTTCCTGTCCTTTATCCTACCCCTCTGCTCCCCCAAGAATGAGCCCGGCCATCTCCATGCTCTGTCTGAAGACAGCTCTGGGATCCTCCCATGAACCCTTTTTCTACCAGATGAACAAAACTGGCTCCCTGAGCATCTCCTCACACATCACACGCTCCAGCCCCGACCACCTTGGTCAGTTCAGTTTGACACGATCCTTATTGCCCCAGAAAGCCCAAACCAGGCACAGCACTCCAGATGTGTCCCTGAGTATCCAGAAGAGGAGCATCACCCTCCCCTCTCCCTGCTGGCTGAGCTTGTGCTGGTACAGCCCAGCAGGAGAGGCAAGCCTTCAATGCCACAAGGACACGCTGCTGACGCACATTCCGCTTCCAGTGCCTTGCAAATCCTTCCATGCAGTCAGTCCCAGCCTGTCCTCCTGCACAGCTGTCACATCCCAGGGGCAGGATCAGAACCCCACAGTGCTCTCCTGCAGCCCCTCAGGGTCACCTGGACTCATGGCCCAGCTCCCCATTTCATCAGCCACTGCTCTCCCAGTCAGCTGCCAGCACAGACTTGCTGGAGCATTACAGCTATGAAGGATTCCTCTCAGAAATAACAAACCAAACAAGGTGTAAGAACTCTCAAAAGCCTTCCACAAAAGGATGTCACTTCCCCAAGTAGCACCCACACCTTTAGTTACGTGCCAGCAGCGCTGCCCACTTTGTGAGGAGCATTTAAGAGCACAAATATAAAACCAGCCTTAAATCTTCTTGCAGTACCACACTCCTTGGTTTCTGAGCCACAGTTCAGCTGGATACAAGTTGGCTGAATACAAGGGGTTTTTTTAAGGCTAGGCATACAGTCTCAAATGTGAAAGCCCCATGAAGTTGAGTAACCTCCAGGATTCAGCAGCTGTTTGTGTTTCAGAGCTTAGAAGCCATCTGTGTTTTGTTTCTGAGATCCCTTCATCCTGTACACAAGTCTTGTCTTTAAATATCTTACGGATAGCAGTGTTTTCCTCAGGCAAAACAGCATCCTTCATGTCTGCTGCTCTCTCTTCATCTTTTTCATCTTTCCATGCTGCTTTTGAACGAGCCTTGTCATTTCTGCTGTGCTGCCCACGTATACAATGGGCACGCTGGGCCCAGTGCTCTGAATCTCCCTCTGTTCCCAACCTACAGATTTGTCCTCATTTATCTAATGGAAGGAAGCAAACAGAATTCCTTCGGACGAAAGGAAAAGCAAAATGATGTACAACCAAAATTACACAGCAGTTGCACTTCAGCGAGAGAACAGAGGTACCACATCAATAAAGACCATTTCACTAACATTTTCCCTCAAAAAATTGTTTCACTTGCCAAAGAGAAGACAAATGGAGACAGAAGAAAAATCATCCTGGTTGCTTTGCTGTTATTTCTAAAGCAGGCTCATGAGAAAACTTTAACATTTAAGAAAGCCTGATATAACACTAAATATCTTTTTGTTTAATAGAATGATTTCTACATGGTCCCTATTTCTATTGTTACCAAAACAATTACATGGCTTTATGGACTGCACTGTCATTCACTGTCTGCCCTGTAAGAGCAGAAGAGATCAATTCCACCTTGCCTATGGAATTATAAACCACATCTCCAAAACAACACACATGCTGTTCCTAAGTACCAACATTACTCCTTAAAACTTGCTTTTGGAAATTCACTTACCCATTCCTTCTTCCAGAATGAGCACTGGGATTTTGACACATGTGGCATATCTGACCCATAAGGAGGCCAGGGAGGGCAGACTCAAAGAGCTGTTAATAAGGAATCAGTGCCAGATGCTGACACCCTCATCCAAAACTGCATTAGGGTTCAATTCCCTGGGAACACAGCTCTGCACACGAGCCTGAGTGTTTCTGCACCAGTATTTCCCCAGGGCCTACACAAACAGCTTCTCATGCCTGACATGCAGCACACAACACTGTGTTCTTGTGTGCTTTTGGGGTTGTTTGGAGGACAATTTTGTTTTAATCTATGTACCTGGGTTGCAACTACTCAAATACTTCCCCCACCTCATAGAAAAGCAGAGAGAACTCTCCAGCCTCCCATACAGAGAGCTGCATGAAAAATGCACCTTGCAGGGAAAAGCAGGAACAACAGGAGCTTTCTGTTTTCATTTGCAGCCTAAAGCTTTAAAGTACCTAACAGTGCTTCCAGCTATAACTATGAATTTCTCTTAGTTTATGTTTCTGCACATGTACTCCCATCCAGAGTCATTCCAGTCTCAGTGTTAATGTGATTAAAATGATGGAGGATATTGTGGGAATCACTAATTACCCATTTTTAATTTCATTTTTTTTATATAGGAGGACATCAAGTTGCATTCTCAGTTCTGCATCCCACAATGCCTACAGTTCCATTCCACACTGCTTTAAGAGATTTCTAAAGCATCAGGAACACTGCACTTACTCAGTCAGCTGTGGCAGGTATTAAGAACAGAAGTACCAGATGGAAATGAGCTCCAGCACAAGTTACTGACTGCCAGCAGAGATGCTAAATTCTCCTTCAGTTACTTGCAGCCTACTCTAAGTGAAAGATACACCATACTAAAAGGTAGTTCAGACCAAGTTAATTCATGTTCTACCTAAACCTGATAAAGTCTCAGTGACTCCATGCACTAGCAGAAACTTAAGATCCAGTTCAGCTACTCATCACCCCATATCCTCTATCTTAACACCAGCACCTGCATCCAGCAGGCTCAGTACTACTAAATTAGAATTATTTTTCTAGTCAACAACAAGTGGTTAAAATCCCTTTGAGGTTAATCAAAATACAGAACCATTTATAGTTCATTTATAGCTACAGCAGGTGTGGACATCAGAAATGAAAATTTGCTTCCAATACTTAATTCTACATGATAGAAAACTTCAGAATCTCCTTGTAAGTATGATTTTGCTGTTTCACTTCACTTCCAAAAGATTCAAGTTGAAGAAAATACTGATTTTTGAGAAGGACCTAACTCCTCTAACAAGGAGTGCAAAGTGAGATGATTTTTCTTCAGTTGCCAAAGTCTTCTGAAAAAAACCCACTCAGCAAATGTGTGAGTAAGGAGGGAGGATGTCTTTGAAGGGAAGAGTACACCAGTGCTCGCTTTTCCATTAGCACTGGATCTGTCCAAGGTTAGCCAGGGAGCTTTCCAGCTCCAGTCTGTAAAACACATCCTGACATAACTGGCTACATTCCCACCAGCTCATTAAACTCCACCTATATTCAAAAGGAAAACTCCAGCAATCAGCAATGTGAAACAGCCCCAAGAACTTCCCCTGGCCTGTCACGAGCTAAATTAAATGGCAAAACTGATCATCTCAAAAACATTTCAGCTTTTACAAGCCTCAGTGGACCTGGATGCAAAACTGAGAGCAAGTTCCCAAACGGCTCACAGGGAAACTTTGGGAAGGTATCCCCACTCCCTGTAAATAGAGCTACAGCAAGAAAGGACCACCATGAGGGGGGAGATCCAGGACTCCCACCTCTGGGTACTGTCCAGCACTTTTGTGCAAGTAAAACAATTAAAATAAAATTTAAAAATTGTATGTATTTGATACATTTATATTATAACGTATAATATACATATATACATTTATAATATAATGTATATAATACACTATACATATATTTCCATAAATAATATAATATATTAAATAGACACATATATCCAAAGTATATATAATACATAAAATATATATCAAGAAGTATTTAAAAATATATGGATGAGTTTCACTGCCTTGTTAAAGCAGAGTGAAACTGAAGTCAAAGGCAGAACTGACAAATTTACTGGGACTTGAGAAAATCAAGAGCAATGCAAAGGAAGGCTGACACTACCATGGATATTTTATTTTCAGGAGGTGTGCAGGACTATCATTTCCAAGTTGACAAGGATCATGTTTCTTCCACACTCTTGTGAAACACTCACTACTAATTCCTGAGGCCACTAGGGAGCGTCCCCAGCCTCTGCATAGACAAACACCAGCAAATCCTCCAGCAGTGTTTTCTTCCAATCAATCTCAAACCTCTCCCACCAAATGAAAGAAGTTTACTCTCCTACACCAAATAACTCGAGTGCTTCCTCCAGTGCAGTAACTACTCTGAGCAAAAGCCAGAGGCTGCAGCTACTGCTGGATTTTTGCTTGTTCACCATGACTTAGCAGATTACTCTGGAAGGTCCTATCCTGTCACATGCTCTGTCCCCGTCCTGTGACCACAACAGATATGGTCATGGGCATTTTTTTGCCAGCTCCTTCACTGCCACCCTATATTGCTGTCCAATACCCACGCCCTGATTTTTTCTCCCTTCCCAAGAACAATCCTTTCACTCACACAGCAAAGACTCGGGCAGATGCTTTCCTTATTTTAGTAAGGACTGACGTAGCACAGAAATCTGATTAAGTAACAGACAAAGATATAGAAAATTATGCAGAACAACAATCACTGGAACTGTTCCTGATACACCACCCCACTTTCTTTTCTCTGTATGTTCTCTGAAACAGAGGCTGGGCTATTCCTTAAACTGCTACAGGAAACATTTTTGCAAAAGATGTCTAAAGAATTATATTTAACAGGAGTTTCTTGCATGCTCTGGGAATTAGAAGCCACTCCAACCAAAATACAAGGAATGTTTCAACACATCAGATCTATTGCTTGAGCACAGCCTGTAGCAGATAAGGGAAATTATTTTTCATAATTTCTCTTCTCTTGTTTGAACTCCTGCTCTAAGATGGCAGGAGGAACAAAAAATTATAACCAATTGCTCTTGGTTTCTTAGTTAAGACAAGACAATGGCTAAGGCATAACACAGAACTATTAGGGAAGAAGGAGAAATTCAGCTGGAATATAGACCCAGAGAGGAAGCAGAACATTATAGCCAACTATTAGAAAGTGCTATTTTTCTTCCTGAAAAGCTGAAACTAACACAGTGCTCGAAGAAAAACACCTCTGCACATTAATATGGAAAATAACTGATAAAAAAATTTAGTTAAGAAATGTAACAACTACTCACCTGTCTGCACATCTATCACCATCTGATGGCCCCCTCTCATTCCTGGCCGACTGTCTTCCCCGTCACCTGCAGAAAAAGAGGGAAGGGAGAATTTTCCATTTTAAGATTTTTAAACCAACAAAAGATACAGCCTCAACATGGAAGCAGAGGAACTGAGTAACGCACCCTTCCTTAAACACTCACATGTCACTTTTTCCAGGTAATTTTTTTGTGTATTATGAAACTGTACAGAGTTTTATACTGAACTATCTGGTGACTGACAGTACAGAGAGCAGAAGTGAATACTGCAACTCCCAGTGCCTTGCAAAGGAGCTCCAATGCTCCTGACACACTCGGTGCACAGAAAAGAGCTCTGAGCTGTCCTTGGAGCTCTCCAGAAGGGATGACACAGCCACCCTTTAGCTCCCCTTCCATCTCTCCACACCTGAGAGCTGCCTGAGGGCTGAGCTGTGAGAACAGATACCCAAATGACAGGGAAATGAACCCCTGGGATGGGAGCAGGAGGTGATGCAAACCACAGAACACAGCCAGCTTTGCACCAGCTATTCTCACACATAAAGGAATTCCAACTGTCCAATTAAAGCAGCTTTCCAACCACTTTAGTATCTTAAGCTTTCAGGACAGGTGACACAGATAACCCTTCCCAAGGGGCTTGGGGACAGTGCTCCACACTTAGCAATTGTCACCTTGGATCCTACATTTGCTCTGTGACAGTGATTTTTGCACTCTGCAGTTAAGGATGCTGCTACAAGTCTCCTCTCAAGGCAGACAGGAATGGAAAAGATTCTGCAGTTTGGATTTGGATCTCTGTAACAGATCAGGACTTCAAAAGATCCACCTCATTTAAAATACTCCCTGTTGAGATAATGTATTTATTTGCCAATTCCTCAGTTTAAGTTGAAGTTACATCAATTCCATGTGCTAAATCCAGTAACACAGATAGCTGTTCTCATGTTTAACCAATATTCTGGGATTTGTTACTAAACTGATGATCTATCCTTAAAGTCACAACGAGTATTCCTACAGTGTTCCTTACTCAACCAGAGAGCAGGCTGAATTTCACTGAATTTGCAGACAAATGCAACTTTTTCAGAGAAGAAACCATTCCCTAGAACTCTCCTAGAGGAGACTTTCTTGCATCATTCTCTTGCTCCATATTCTCAAAGGAACAAGACAGAACTGGCAGTACATGAGTTCTATCTTAAGAAATGCTCTTACCTTTGGTGCTTTTGGGGATAATCTGCCCCCAGCGAGGTTTGTACTCTTGCTGACTGATATACTGATTGAACAAGCCATCTGCAAAACAAAAATTTTGCTGGATAAAACATTTATCCTCCCATTTTAGCAGAATCACTATTAATGTGGGTAACTTCACCCTAACTCAATCCAGTATGCCACTCCAAAGCCTCCATTTTCAGTGAGTTCTCTATTATGTGTCAGTTAGTTTGTTAAACTTTTGTTAGTTTGTTAAACTTTTGTTAGTTTGTTAATGAACTAAATGTGCAAGCACTAAAATAAAAAGAATACTTGCTACTAGATCAATCAGGAATTATCCAGTTTGCCTGCCAGGTCGTGCCAAGTGTCTATAAATCTCCAGTGTGGTGTATTTAATTAAGAATAGAATCCCTCCCCCTTATTTAAGCAAAAGGAAAGTTGCCAGTGCATATAAAATTCAACCATTTTAGTGCACGTTAAGTTAAAACTAGGTCAGACAGCATCTCTGGAGCTTCATCTGAGGAGGGAAGCAGAGCAGATTGTTTAAATGCTGTGATACGGGACAACCGAGCGCTGGATGAAAAACAAAACAAGAGTTTACATTCTCTTCAGAGAGTTAAGCAAGAAGAGCAACAGAGGAGGCGTTAGATCCTGGGCCAGATGTGCCAAGTGCAGCATTTCTGTGAGCAGCACAGCTCCAGCACTTTATCCACACTGCCCTTGTGCACTCCACCTCTTCTCAATCCAGAGGCCAGCTCCTAATCCTGTTCAGATGTTAGCAGTCCATCACATAAACACCAATTTTCTGTAAAGGAGACTTGTAACACCCACACTCCCTGGGACTGCTCTCCAGTCTGGGAAGGGCTTGGCACGTGGGGAACTTGGTGCTTTTGTTCGTCAAATGTCTCCTCTGAAACACCTACCTAACCTTCTGCAGCACAACAAACCATGAGAGCACCTGAGCACTGTTTGCCTGGCTACATCCCACCCATCACCCACCATCTCAACACACAAGCTCCTCCTGACAAATGTTTCTGCTCTATTAATGCACTACCTGAAAAAAAAAAAAACAATAGGAATTCAATAAATGATGAACGCCTCTGCTTATTTATACAAAGGCCCTTTGTAGGTATATAGGCAAAAAAGAATGATCCTTATGAATGCATCACTATTTATTTAGAAAAAGGTAAAAAATCTTTGTTAAGCATGACACAAGGCTCAGAGAAAATTTCCAAGTGTTTTCTGGCATCCTGTAGTTTGTCGTGACTGAAATCCAGGTTTTAATTAAAACCCAAGCCAGCAAGTATTTCCTGGGAGAAGATGAAAGCTCTATTTAGAGACCATCTAACAGGAAAACAAGGGCACTCAAGAGCTCCTGAAAAGTGATGAGTTTGGTCTGAAAATATAAAATGTCCATAAACTCAGCTGTGCAAGTTTTTCCAAATACATACTCTGAAAACAGGGCAGATTTTACTTTCACCTCAGCACCGAAACCAGCAGCACTCTTTCCCCCACATTAGGTAATCGAGGAAAGCCAGAAGTTTGCTCAACGTATGTAGAAGGAAAAGTGGTTTATTTTGGGTTTAATAGCAGGGTTCTTAACTCCCACTTCTTCAGCATTTATGAAGCTGGGACAACACACTAGAGGCTTGAAGCTTGAGATCTCATAAATTGTGATTCAGAAAAGCCAGGCCTAATAGAACAAATGCATGTGCTGTAAGAAATCCCACAGTGACTCAGCCACAAACCCAGACAGAAATGCAGCTTTTTGGTTATCGTTATACAGCCTTGGGTCTGCAAGACAGAAACCAAAACTGTATTTATCCCTATGGCAGCCAATAGATAATTGGACATAAATAGCTCAAAAGGATGAATTACACCACATAGGATCTGAAAGGGTGATTTAACCTCTCTCCCATGCTCTACACCCACAGGCTGCACTTGTCAAGATATGACACTTCTCCCCTACTGTGCCTTCGGCCTCTTTTAATAATGCTTCTTGTCTTCCATGGGACATCGGTTTGGAAATACTCCAGCTTGCTTCCCAGAAATGTTTCCTTCTGCTGGAATCAGTTCCACATTCACTCTACTTACATTGCAAACCAGCAGCAGCTTGTTTTGGAAGCTGAATCACCACCTGTCTGACACCACCAGGGAAAAAAAAGGAGGATTTCTAGGTGGATTCTGTACCCGACGCCAGACCTACGCCAGCGCACTCCTTCTGTTCCTTGTCAGGAGAGCACTGCTGACCAAAAGGTCTCCAAAGCTCCTGTGAGGAGCTGAGCCTCACATCTAGGCCTGCTCAGGTCTGTCAGCTGTTCCCAATGAAACAGGAGTTTAAAATAAATTTCAAGACTCTTGTCAAAAAAAAAAAAAAAAAGCTGAGTGGAAGTTTTTAAATGAAGTGTTTTCTTTTGCTCCAGAGACCTCTCACTTCAATGTCCATGTTTACTAAAATTACAGCCAAAAAAACGACTTTGTACTATTTTCAAGCTCTTTGCAGTAAGCCATGACGCATTTTGGATGTAACAACACGAAGTTCACCGTGATTAAAGCTTGGTAAATTCTGCCTCCCTGATAACCCAAGTCTTTATTTTGCCACCAACTGCAGGTCACCCAAAACGATTACGACAAACGTTGTGGACAAAAATATTTAACTTGCAGAAGCCAATCAGGAGCGAGTTGTACAAAGTTTGGGGGTTTTTAGACAACACATGTCTCCAGGTAGGGTTGCTGAAATCTGTTCCTTTCACTGCCAATGGCTCAAAAATCTTCCGAGTGACAATTAGACCATAATTTCTGGGAGCTGAGGTTGAGGTTTTAGATTTTTATCAAACCAAAGAAAAGCAGCCAAAATACTTAAAATAGTTTGAGGCTTTCTGAGTCACGAACTACCTTCTAAAGAAAAGCTGAAGGAGAGAAAGGTTCTACCAGATAAAAATTCAGCCACTACTTGACAATTTCCTCGAGACTTGGGAGAAACAAGGAAACATAATTTTTTTCCAGCCTCAGAGCTGTAATAGTTTCTTGCACTTTGTTCTTCATAAAAATGAAACAAGGCTTGCTCTCAAATCCATGTAAGTTATCTTTCTTCTACACAAGCCCCAACCATTTACTTCCCAGAGGCTTTGGATCCCTAGCCAGCCTCTGCCCTCCATATATCCCAGTACACAGAACAGTTTTCTCAGAACTAAATCCAAACAATATTAAACGGTAAAATTCAGGAATACGTGTGTGTCTAGAGTTTCCAGGGGGATACAATTGTTCCTGTGCCTCCTGTTCCTGTGAATCATGAGTTCTGGGAGACACTGGAGCCTGCAGGCTGTGCATCACAACTTCTTGTTTGTCGCACAGGACGGACTTGTCACCAGATAAACACATGTCACATTCTGACAGGAGCGGTGCCAGAAGGAACACCTCAGTCCCTGGAATACTAATGGGAAACAAGCAGCTCTTCCACCCATTCCAAGCAGCTCTCCATGTCTACGGGAGCTGCAAGCAGTTCAACCAAGCAATTTGCACTCCACATACTCTCTGTAGGAATATTAAGCAGATATTTTTCCTTCAATAATATAGGCCCGAAAGCTACAGGAATGGATCCAAATGTGAAGCATTTGAACCGAGTCTGTGAACCAGCTGAGATTTAGGGAACCTTTTCTTTTTGAGACGAAGTCAGGCAGCTGCCAGAGTTTCCATTTGCCCATTTTCTAAGTGTAACGCACAAGTCAAAAGAATCAGTGGGAAAAGTGTGGCTGCCTGCCACAGAGCTCTCAAAAGAAATCATCTGGTGATGTGAGGTGGAAGACAGCGTTCATCATTAGCAATGCAAAAGAACAAGAGTTAGTTCTGCCAGCACTAATTCTTGACCACCTACTCTTTTTCTACATGACTAAGCCTATGGAAATAGCCCGCGAGAGATGCAGAGCGTTGCACTTTGTCAATACCCACCACTGCAAATATCAGCCTCTCCAGAAGACATTTTAGGCTGAACTGAGTGTGCAGTATCTCTGTCAACTTCACTGCACTTCTGTTTGTGCCTTTAAGGCAATGAACTCCCAGATCAGCAAGCGGTCAGGAGTTCACATATTCATGCCCAGTCTGCAATAGAACAGTTGCTCTTTGAACGATTTCAGGGATAATTTAAGGATCTGTATGTCTCAATTAACTCTACACTTCAGCTACACTACACAGACACAGGACTAAAGTTAATCCTCTTTTATTTGGAAAAACAACACATCAGACAGGAGTTCAGTGGTAAGAACACCCACACCTTAGAGACTAAGCAGCAAGCAACTGAGACTTCACAACAGAGCTGCTAGGAAAGTAAAATGATAAAAAAAATCATCACAGAATGGCCTGAGTTGGAAGGGACCTCAGTAATAATTTAGTTTTAACCCCCATGCCGTGGACAGGGACACCTTTCAGCAGAGCAGGCTGCTCAGAAAATGCTGGGGAGCTTGACAGATGCAGAACAGAGTAAGGACTGTAACTGTGGAAGATCACAGGGAGCAGGAGTAGAAATACTGTAGGGGAACATGCTGAAGGCTGAAAACCTCTATTCCCATCCTACCAAGAAGAATCCAGCTGTTAAGCACCATTAATATTCAGCATCTTGACTGCCACAACTTCAGACAAATTGTTCCAGGTGCAGTTTTGGGTGGTTTTGTGGCAGAAGAGGTTTGTCCTGCCCTCTCCCCCACCCCAGCCTGATCAGCTCCCTGTCTGGGTTGGCCATGTGGCAGCACGAGCACCAGTGCCAGGGACACAGTGTCCTGAGCAAGGGCAGGATTGACCCAGTTAGTGAAAACCCGCAGTCGTGTCAGCTTAAAGCAAATATGGGATGCAGCCTCGGTGTCTCGGGATAGATAGCACTTCTCTCCAAAGAGTGCTGGGAGGCGATAGAGCTTTAAATGGGTACATTTAAAGCTGAAGACAGCATAAAGAATGGCAGGAGGATGGGGGAAGGAAGGTTAATGTATTCCAAGACAAGCAAAATCATTAAGGATGACCAACAGAGCGATGGGAGATGCGCACACTGACATTTAACTTCAGCTAGCCAGGTGCTGGATTAAAATGAAGCAAAATAAACATCCCCATGCATATTTTTCTGTCCCTCAGAAGCAGTGACAAAACCTAATGATGCTCTTGAAGACTCTCCTGCTAAATTATCCACCGTCTGTTACTACCAAGACTTGCTTTTAATACTTGCTGGAACAAAAAAAGGCTGATAAAACAAGCTGCAGCATATTCCTTCAGCTCACCTAAGTGATGCCGAGCTCCTCAGCCTCCAAAAAGGGATGTGATTACAAAAACCAGGGAAGGAGGATTATCCACATCAAATCTGACAAGAAACAAGTGTCTGTCAGACAGAACAATTCAAGACCTACAGTTTCCTTCCACACCAGTCCTTTGCCAGTATTTCCACACCTGGAAAAGCAGAGCACTGCTGACAGCAGCTCCACTCTCAGCAAACATTAAGTAGTAAAAGAAATTAAGATATAAGAGCTCAAAAAAAATGAGGCTACAAACATTCACTTCATTAGCGCCCAAGAAAAACTTCCATTTTTGAGAGTACTTTTTCAGCACATTCTAAGACTTTGAGTCTTAGAAATTCCATTCAAGAAATCATTTCCACTCCAGCCTCCAATGAAGTGGAAAGAGGACAGCCTCCAGGCACTGAGATTAAGCTATGGCCAAGGCAGCAGAGCGAGGCAATGATAAAATCATCACCATCAGCACACAGCACTCCTCTGGCTGCTGCAGCATCATGGTGGGCTCATCACCTCCCTCCAGGCACTCGTGTCTTTGAGACACAGACAGAAACAGCTCCCTGCTGCTTTTCCAGCCTGCAATCCTCCCTTGCCCTTATAATTCAGGAGGAAGCTGCCAGATGCAAAATGCCCCTGCATTGCAGGAAGCTCTTCACACTCCCAGCCCAGCCAACACTCCACTGTCTTGGGAGGGTGAGGATGAACATGGCAATTTTCAGTCTCAACACTTGTAGTTGTTCAGGGAGCTCAGCACAGGGCAGGTCTCCACTGCTCTGTCTGAAGACAAACCTTGAGCAAAAGCCATAGAAAACTACTTACTGCAGTTTCAGAAGACCTGTTGCAATAAGCTCCTTAAAACTGTGCTCAGTTGAACATCTTAGTCACAAAAAGATGGTGGGTTTTCATGGAAGACAACCCTTGATTTCCAAGTTATCATTTCTATCACATTCTGAGAACCACTTCCAGCTTGTTTGTGGTACAAACCACACTGATGGGAGTCAAGCAGGTACACCGGCATCTTTCCAAAGCATTACAAAATGACTGATTAGCCCAGAATTAAAGAATAACATCTCTGGCGCCAGCTATCCATGAAATTGGTTCATTAAGTCCCTAACTCTACTGGCATCAGACACAAAGTTTTCCTCTTACACCAGTACAAGTCTCCCATGATGAGTGACTGCACAAAGTCAAAAAGCTCTACACCCACAGCCAAGAGCACCTCTGTTTTAACAGACTGCAATCCAAAACTGCTGCACAGGTCTTGAGAGTCACTTCAGTGCAACAGCCTCACTCTTTCTGTATCCCATTCAATCAACAGAAAGTACATCTCCCTCCTTTTAGGAGTTGAGAGCTGTTTATACACTGTGTTTTTAAGTAGAAAGCTTTCAAGTAAAAAATTAATAGCAGTTCCAATGAAACTGACTGCCCTGCCAAGGTCCCACTCTGCAAAGGAAAACAAGCTCTGCCTCCAGTCACTGACTTCCACACAATTGTCCAAGGATTATCTTCCCCATAAGCAAAGAGAGCATCCTCATCCAAACACAGCTGAAAACTTCTGCCTGAACACCAACTCAGTGGTGAGCTCCAACCAGGATCCAGATCACCACTGAGAACTCCAGTCTTCTGCTTCCCTGCTCACCATTCCAGTGACTTTCCTGACAGTTTAAGCCCACCCTCGGCTTGCCAACACTTACATGAAGAACTTCTCTTTACCCACTCAAGTGCACTGCCTTGTCATCTCTGGGGAAAGTGACTCCAAAAGTAGCAGTGATAACAGATTTCATGAATTTTTATCCTTCATCACACACACACTCACAAGTCCAAAAGCTGACAGCACACTAGAAATGAAACAACACACGGACCTGCCAAGTCTACTACTAAGCACACTAACATTCAAAAGAAGGTAATATTTCAATGCACTTTTTTTCAAACTAATGAATCACTTCCTCTGATTCTCTTACCATTCACAGCTTTTTCTATCAGTTCTTCACAAGCATCGAAGTCCCCCTTCAACACCAGTTTGTCGTGCAGGTCTGTCAGCATGGGGTGCTCCAGAGCAATCTTGGTTTTCTTCTGCAGCGACTCGAAAGCCTCGGTGTAGTTGTGCTGCCGAAAATGCTTTAGGCAAAGGCGAATGGCTTCCTGTTCACGGTACTACTGGAACACAAGAAAACCTCTGAGACATGGAGATTTTTCCTCTGACCAGCACTGCTGGCAGCTATCTGTGAACCTGCCCAGAGACAGGATCTGTTATCCACGCTGCACAAACCGCTCGCGAGCTCATGGAGGAAGGCTGTGTGAGAGACATTACAAGCTGTGCAGGCATTTACTTTCCAACAGTATAGAAATTATAGAATTTGGTATCATCCAATTTAATAAGCATACAAGAAAGAGAGTGCATGGTGTCCCAGATCTCTGGGGTGACCATTATTTCCCCCCCATCTGCTTGGCCCTGCTGTTCGAGGCCTACACGAAGCACAGAGCAGGAAAAAGCCTTCGCTATCAGCGTTACATAATTTGATTGTATGACTCTTACATAACAAAATAATTTAGAAGAGTAAGTAGGTCACAGCTTTTCTAGAAGCAGAAGGGGAAAAAAAAAAAAGCTGTGAGAATGGGAATACTTGCAATGACCAACACTCCTGCCACGGAAAGGCAGAAGGCTGACCCCAAATCCTGCACGTTCATGAGGGTTTGGGATCAGCAGCACCAAGGATTTCTGTGCACACCAAAGTTCTAACTTCTAAATATTCTCCTGCATCTTGAAGCAGAACCTCTGCTTTCACACCACGGATGGAGCCACAGCTGCCCATCTCCCACTCAGCTGTGGGAAGGGGTGAGAAAGGTGAAAGAAAACCCACGCTGGGCCAAACATCCTGGCACAGACACACAAGGGCGTAGTAAACTCTGAGTAAGAGCTACAATTTTCAAAGCTGCTAACAAGATGTGTAAGAAACACAGATTTTTAGGTTGATAAGTAGAAGAAACACTTATTTTAAATAGACTTTTCAATCCTAAATTCTAAGGCATTAAAGAAAAAAAAATCTCCATTTCCATCTTTAACACACAACTACTGTGGTAAAAAGCAAATGTAACTTTAAGCATCTATAGATGCTTATAGACTGATTAAATTACAGACAAAAGATGTTACTCCTAAATGGACACTACTGCTAAAAGTGAAGTTTATAGTATTTAAATGAACAGAATCTTTCTGAAAACCTGGAACTAACACTGACATTCGACAAAATTTAATGCTCTCGAAAGAATGGCTCGATAGCAAGAATCTCAAACTCAAGCGGCTAAAAAGAAACACGGCCATGTGCTGTATTTTTAGTTCTTAATCCATCAGTATTTCACAGCTGCAAATAGCCAGAACTATGCATTTTTAGAAAACCAGTTCCCAGCCCACATAAAGGCCAAGGACATGTACCGATAAGAATGCAAGTCTGCAGCAAAGAATTATTAAAGCTAAAACAGTTTTACAGCACAACTGGCAAAAAACAACTCCTTTTTTTTCTTTCCAAGAGATGCCTAAGACACTCTCTAAGCAAATACTCACTTGCATGAGTCAAGGCCAAAACCAAATTAGAATTTTTTGTTCAAAGGGATAGCAAGCAAAAGTAGAGCTGCACACCAGTAATTACCAGCTTCTGCATTTTTAGATCCTCCAGTTTAGAAATCAGACAAAATGCAGACTTGAGACAGAGGGTACCTCCTCCCTTTCACTGAGCCTCTCATGACTGATAGACCTGGCTTAGATAGCCAGGAATTACCTGGATGGAGTCTGGCCACTTGATGCAATATAGAAGTTTATATTCAAGTGACACCATAGTAGTACTTCAGAAGTTAAATGTAAAAACCTGCTTTAAGCAAAAAATGTGTATAAAAAGTATATAAAAGGCTCCTTTTTAAATGCTGTCATCCAGGTTTAAAGAGACAACCCAAATAATAGCTTTGATCTGAAGCTGTAAATAATTCCTATGGTTAAAAACGTAACAAGAGCATGAGACTAAGACATCAACCCTGTCAAATACATTCATAGAATTAAAAATACTTATGTGCTCATTATCAGAAGTGGTATCCAGTGATAAGGTATCCCTTCTTAGGTGCTTTTTACCCTCCTCAGGAAAAAGAGGTAAGGCTGTTTGGAGGCAGTAGGCTGAGCTGGACAGCAAGGAGAAAGCCCTGAGGAATGTTTCAGTCCTTATCCATTATCCCCAGCTCCACTCCCCACAGGAGAGGGAGGTTTTGTTGGCACAAAACAAAAAGGAAGGGCAACATGGTATAGAACCTTCCTTTCATCTGATGTCGCAGGCAGTGTAGAATTATTACACTTCAAAGACTCTGAGATTTCCAAAAACACACGTGAAAATATTCCCACCCTCTCAAAGAACTGGAAGAAACAGGTCAACCTTTCTGCCTTTCCCTAAATATGGGACAGCACATCCCTCTCCGTGGATCCAGCAACAGTGGCCTCTCTGTGAGAGAGGAGAACATCACTGACACATGCACTCATCACCAAAAACTTGGCAGTGGATCCTAGCAGAGCTCACACCACCATGACTCAGTCTCTACACTGCTTCTTTTGGGGCTCCAAGCTTTAGGAGAACAATGCTGGCACCCCTTGAAGAAGCTGTCCCTACACACAATGCTGACCAGGAAAAGCGCCGATTCCATGGGATAAGATGGAACAAAACAGATGCAGACATCATCACTGCATGACTCCTGACCAAAAAAGAAAATAAAAATCAGAGCTTCCTGCTGGCAGCAAGTGGTCCAAACTGCCAGACACACCACCACGTGCAGAGCCAGCAAAAGGAAAACCACCAGCAGCTTCTGTCAACTGGACTTTTCAGAACTGGACATCCATCATCAGCTGACTCATGACCACAACACCACTTGGACCATAAAGCAGCTCCAGACAACTTCCACTGTGCTGGTTATTTAAATCCTCCACAAAGCAGCTCATGATGTTGGTGTAAATGGGCACGAGCCAGACACCACAGTCACACACATCTTCTTCACCACTCTGGCAGCACCATGAACTGATCACACACAATCTCTATCCCCTGCTAAGTTCTTCCTTCTGGAAGCAGAGATACACTGCTCCACTACTCAGTCCTACTCTGCTGGGAAGGATGTCTTCTCTGCAACACAATATGAGTTTCATTAATTGTTCCAGAGGATCCAAAGCACAAAATGTACCAATAAAATGTGTTCTGGTTGTCAGTGTGCACTTCCCTCCCACAGGAGAGGCATCTTTAATACTCAATTAAATACAACTTATAAAGTTTGGAACCCCTTGAACTTTCTGTTTATGAAATGACAAGTGACATAAATCATCTCATCTCACAGTCCAGTGGCACCAGCCCCACTTGGTTCCAGGATATTCAGCAAAAAGACAGTAAGAGGGAAATACCTAAAGTGCAAGATACCAACAAGGATTCTGTTTAAAAAAATGTCATTTTTATACCCTGTAACAAAAGATGCATCTGTAACTCAAAAGGTTCTGGACTCCATGGACTGGAGTTAAAAGAATAAAAAGGAAAGAAGAGGGAGAAACGGAATCTGGTTTTGTTAAGATTAATTTCCCTTCCAGTACAAATACTAATACCTTACTAATATTGTCCCCTTTGGCTCAGTGTTCCCTTCTTGTGATGTCTACCTGTCAGGTTTTTTGGGTGCTGCTGGTGGTTATGGGGTTTCTTGGGGTTGTTTTGTTGGTTTTTCAAAGAGAACAAACAGATAAAATTCAGAGTTTCCCTTAGGGTCAAAGTCAGCCACGTGGTTCCAACTATGCATGTTTGCTGTTTTAATAGCTGATGTTCAAGGAATGAAAAGGTCACATCACTCCAGTAAGAGAAGTTTCACAAGATTCTGAAACTAGGAATCTTCAAACAAACAGGCATCTAAAATGCAGGCCTACCTTGCTGTACCAGTTGAGGCACGGCTGGACCACATCTGGATCATCAATGCCATTTAGTTCAACATACCAGATACTAAAATTGAAGCTAGGTCCCCACGATAAGAGTGGAACTGGAGAAGAAAGGAAAAGGAGAAAAACTATGCATAAACATCAAACAATCACTACTGCAACAGAATTAAAGTTTACACAAAATTCAGTGTTTCTGACTTAAGTTCTAGCTCATTTAACTTAGCTTAGGAAAATTACCAAATACATCATGTTCAAAACTGTCATTTAAAGCAACCTGTGCTGAGCAACATTAACACAGCAGATCATTACAAAGCAGAAGCTTGCTTTAAGCAGAAGAGCAAAAACACTATCATTAAAAACAGCTCCAAGAGGCAACAAGCTTTGACAAGGATGGGAATCACGAGCATACTAGCGACAGTATTTGCTCCTCATAGTACATTTATTTCCCCATTTGTCAGCAACAATTATTTTCCCTAATGGTGAAGACAAGAAGCTTGGGTATTTTAAATTTTACAAAATTAGTAACATCTGCAAGTTGTGGAGGAGCGAGGGAGGGATAACTGTCAGTTTCTAACTTAAAAACTCTATTTTTTAAAAGCTTTATTTAATCTGTGCAGGTTTTTTGCTGATACTATTTTATCTGACTATTGGAACAAATGGACTTGAAATACTAAAAGACCCATGAAACACAGTACAGCCTCTCACCTATGGCTTCTCTACCACTCTGGGTTAATATCTGTGGCCTTGCACTGATTTTGTGGTTACTCTGCAGGTTAAGACCTGGTTCTGCTTTTTGAAGCAACTCCAAGCCCCAGAAAACTTGTGTGTGAACTCTGACTCATTAAAACTGCAGTGAAATTGAGTGGTTTCATTTCAAATACTTTTGTTTCCTTTTTATTTGACTGTAACTGATAAACAGGAAAAGACAGTATTGAAGTTGAATGAGCAGTTACCAGCAACAGCAAGGAGTCCACCACCTCCTCCCTTCCATTATTTTTGCTACTAAGAAATTGCCTGTTGAAACAGGCACCATGAAATACCACTGAGGTTAACCTGCTGAACTCATGTTTTTCTGACCTACTCCTTGAGGAAATAAAAACCCCAAACTCATCATAAAGCTGCTCTTGAGCTCTTACAGGTTATAAAGTATATATAACTCAAACAAGCCACATCTATGATTATCTGCAATGTGTTTGGGCAAAAGGCACATGTTCAAACACATGATTTAAAACATTCAAACACATGATCTAAAACGATTATCTGCAATGTGTTTGGGCAAAAGGCACATGTTCAAACACATGATTTTCTAAGTTTTAGAGGGTGTATTTACAAACCTATTGCTAAAGATGCACAGTAACTTCTGGGAACAGTCAAGATCCAAAGAGACTTTGTATATGACTCTTAAATTATTTTAATATCCCTAAGAAGGCACTTTCTATTTTACAGCTCTCAAAGCATCTTTTCAAACAGTTTTTTTTAACTGGATTATTAAGCACACAGCATGATGCTTTCAGAGCAGTTCCTTGTAGGTATATGTTTGTGGAGACAAGAGAGAAGTGAGGTGGTCAGAAAAACCAAGAGTCACCTGTCTCCCATCCACATTTCACATTCTCTGCCCAGGAAATTTCCCTCTTGCTGACCTTCATCCCCTGCACAAGCTGAGTGCTGCCAATACAGTAACTTAACACCATAAAACATGACTGCTGCTGAATTCAAGTTGGGTCCCGGATATCCTACCCATTACTGCAGCAGTCTGGCAAAATACCACATCTAAGGGTAGCAGCTTTGGTCTGTCCTCAGACCTGAACACACAGACCAGACCAAACTTGAGGTTAAATTTGGTATTTGGTCAGCTATAAACATCAAAGTCTATCCAACAGCTCACTGAACTGAAACGTTCAACTAAACCACAGACCACCTGAAATGGGCCAAGACCGTACATTTCCTGATGGTAAACCTGAGGGCTACTTCCAAACTTCTCTATCCACCTCTATTTCTTTTCAGCAACTCTCAAAACTTCTATGAGTTCAGGAAACAAAATAACAATTAACTCTCCTCTCTTTGATGCTAACTACAACCCCTAAGAAGTTATTGGGATGTACACAAGAATCTGGGGCAGCTCCCACCACAAGAAAAAGCAAAGCTATCAAATTACTGACATTTGTCCTCCCCACAGTTAACTCAGAGCTTCCAACAGCCTTTTTTACCAAAAGGAAAAAACAAAACACCAGAAATGGTGATTTTTAACAGCAAGATTTTCATGGTGCAATCATCTTTTCTAAGGAAAGCACATTAAGGTGTACAGAGAAGGGAAGGAAAACACTTTCCCAGAACTGTACAGGCAGAGAAAACTGAACCTGACTCCACAGGAACAAGAAAAGAAACAAAGCTGAAGTTTGAGACTGAAATCTAATTTCTGTTCCAGTTAGGCAAGTTGAAGTGTTCTGCTGGATCATCTCCACATTTTTGAACTTCTTTCCTGACTCCCAGGAGACACCTCTCACCCTTTCTTCTGCCCTCTCTTTTTGAGGCCTCCATAGGAGTGCTCAGATCTTCAGAAAAATCTCCTTTTAGAGCACCCACAATCTGACTTATACCTGGAAAGAGGAGGCACTAAGTGCAGCACAGAAGCATTTTTTTCTGCACACCTTTGAGATGGAAATGTACTACAATCAAAGATGCTGAAGGCCTAAAGATATATAATTCCTCCACTTTTTATCAAAAAAACACCTCCCTATGTTTTTCCTGCAGGCACAACAGCAATCTATCCTGAAAGGTGCAACTGTTCAGAACAGTTGAATTGTCACTCCACAGTGAGAGGAGCTCAGCAGAGGAAAAATAATTAAGAAAAAAAAAATCAATATTCTTCTGAGAAACAGAAGGTATTTGAATCACTTAAACACTTCTTAATCCACACATGGATAATTTTAGGGAATACTTCTCAATAATAGCTATGCCTAGACAAGGACTGCAACTCTATAGAAGAGAAGCTAATAGCAAAGGCATTAAACACATAATTTTAAATACCTCTCTCAAGCTAATTTCTGTGTCCCTCATCTACAGGCAGACACACAAACAGGTACACTTGCAAAATTAAGAAAATATCCATTAAAAAAGTATCCCTCATTTTTGTTCTATCAAAGCCTAAAAATCTTGAAGTCTAGTTACCAAATCCCATACTAGCAACAAACTGCAATGAGAATTACACCTGGCATTTTTCAAGTTCTTTCATGGCAAACAGTCTTTACACCTTCTGCTTTCAAGGACACAGCACAGAAAAATCTCTGCTTGGAGGAATCATGAGAACAGAGCCAGAAACAAAGCTCACAGACATGAAAAAGATTATTCTTCGATATTTTGTCCTGATAAATACCTTCTTCTCTCTCTCCAGTTCTTTAATGAGGTACTACATGAAATGTAAAAATTACCTGTCAAGTAAGTTAAAAAGCCTGCACAACTGAGCATTTCAGTGCTCAGGAACTGCAGTTGAAGTAATTACACTAACAGAAGTGTAAGGCTTTTCTTGACCAAAGGAGAGAGGTTATTCTTTCTGCGTTTTATGAGCCTGAAAATTCCTCTGCTATGTGAGCAATGGAGGCTGGAGCAGGAACTTTCCCCTCTCCTGGATCTGCCCATGGCTTCTCCTGCCCCATGCCCCCATATACACCCCACTGCTGTGCTGCTGACAGTGCTGTTGTAGGTCCCTGTGCTGACCTGTGGAACCCTAAAGCCCATTCCTGATGCAAGTGCTGTGAACCCCCAAACCTCACTGATAGCGGGATTTCGCCGTGTCAGTCCCCGAGAGTCCAAAAGGGCAGATTTTGGCCTTGTTTCCTGGCACTGTTACAAGGAACACAGCATGGTGCTTGAAATTTTGAGTTACTTTGGCTAGCATCTTGGAAATTTTAACAAACTCAAAACATTTTCAAGCTGTGAATCCGAAAAATAACAGAATTTCGTAACAGTGTTTTGCAGTTGTTTCGCAGCAAAAAATGCTCTCACAACTTCATCAACAAAATGACACCAGCCATCAACCAGAGGCTTTCATGGCTTTAGGTGAAAAGACCATTTCCAGTTCTGTCTTAGCATAGGAATTTTTTCATGACAGACAGCTTCAGGAAATGAAAAGCTACGATAAAGGAAATCTCATCTCAAACCGTAACCAGTGGAAGTGGCAGCTCAATGCAAACCTAATATTAATGCAGATAATAATGTTTATTCATGGAATGGTTTGGGTTGCAAGGCAACTGAAAGAGCATCCAACTTCATCCCCCTGACGTGGGCAAGGACACCTTCTACTATCCCAGGTTGCTCCAAGCCCTGTTCAACCTGGCCTTGGACACTTCCAGGGATCCAGGAACAGCCACAGCTCCTCTGGGCACCCTGTGCCAGGGCCTCTCCATCCTCACAATCAGGAATTTCCTCATAATATCTAATCTAAATCTACCCTCCTTCAGATAAGGGTGTTTCCTCTTGCCCTATCACTACATGCCCTTGAGAAAAGTGTTACATGAAGATCCCATCCCAAGAAAACAAAGTACTGATGTAATTTCAGAGGAAAACGTCCTGGTAATGGGAACTAATCAGCATTTCACTTTCATAACAAGTTTCAACTCACGGCTACACTTCATTTCATCAAAACACACTTTCCTGGAATACAATTTACACATCCAAAGAAGCAGCCAGAAATCTTTCCATTGGCCCCTTTAGCCCTCCAGGAACTACTTGCTAGTTTTTAGCCACTGAAAAATAACATTTTCCAAAAACTTAATGTTGGAAGCTTCTGAATAAAAATAAAAAATAAAGCTTTTAAAAATTCATTTAACTTCCTTGATGTAGTCAACCTTTAACTTGATTCCTCTGCTACTCTTGAGGTTTCCTAAAGCCAAGCCCTACAGTTGCTTCCAAAAGTAGCAGCCAGAAACCAGCCCAGTGAACAACCAAATCCTCTGCTTCTCTAAGAACAGGAAACCCCACAAATGATTACTGGATTCCCAGCCTGAAGCTTTCAGTTCCTGACAAACATGAGGAGATTCAGAAAGAACACACTGGGCAAAGGGCTCAGAGGGGAGCCCCTGCACAGCCACTATCATCAGAGTCTTGGCAAAGGAATTACCCAACACATCAAAACACTCCTAAATTCATGTAAATTAGCCAACAGGATCTCATCTCATTTTTCAGCAACTACCTCCTTGCTCTATTTTTAACCTTAAACAGCTAGTTTAATCCCAGTCATTCTTGTACTATCTCAGTAGGTAGGAAGGGAAAGATAAATTTACTGAGCAAGCTGAAAGGCTCCAAATCCTTGGATTAAATCCAACAACTGTAAGGCTCTTGTTCTCTCGGGCCTGCAGAAAGCAAGGAAGAGATATCCTTACCTGCTCCCACCACACGTGCCAGTACCTGGCCTTGGGGAGCACCCCCTCAACCCTGCCCCAGCCAAAGCAGACACCAGGGGCACAACCCCTTCCCTGCCCCTGGGTGTCATCCTTAGCCAGAGGTGAGTGAGACACTGTGATAAGAGCAGCAGGGAGAGAACAAGGGAGGCTTCTGCTGTTGCTTTACGTGTTGCAACCATGTTTGAGAACGAAACTTTTCAAGCTTTTGCAGACTTGAGGGCTGTCAATATGGAAACTTTTACTGCTTTTTAGCTTAGTTATTTATTTAAAGCTCTATACAGCAATTCATAGGAGGACAGTAAGCAGCTTCTCCCGCAATTAGTTGAGTCAACAGCTGTATTTCTGAAAATTGCTCTATTTTGCTTTCACTCCCCAGGATCTAAATTATGAAGCTACTATTTCTTATTAACAGGACTTCACTGTGTTCCAATCTAACCAGCCTAAAAGATGATGAAATGGAACAGCTATTGTGGATACTGTGCCTGAGTACAATGAAGTCACAAGTGCCAAGACAGGCACAAGTATCAGAAGAGATTATTTTCTACTCAGAATGCTGAAAAAATGCATTTACCTATCTTAATGAATCGACAGGGGAACATCTGTTCATCAATTTTATGCTTCAAGGTGAATGTTTCTTTGTTATAATCATTCTTTAAGCCACTGTGGGAAAAAATAAATAAGGTTACTAAATCTTACCTTATATTTAAGGACTAGCTAATAAATGCAATCTAGGTCACGCCTGAAACACGCAGCTTGTTTCACACCACTCTGAATCATCAGTACACGTGCTGGACCGAGGCCTGGGCTGCTCTCCACCTACCTGTGCCTCCCTAGGAGGCAGCACTGGGATTTTGGGAGGGAATTGGCTTTGGATGAGTGCTGCTCCTCTGCACCTGGAACCCTGAGACTTCAGCTCCTGATGTGCTGAACTGCACTCTTCCATTCTCAAGAGGGAGATGGATCAGATCTCAAAATTATCACCCTGACAAAGTGCTTTGTGATTCATTTATGGGCATTGCTTTCTAAAAATATCAAATATTTAGTATAATTTATCAGAAATCTTACTTTCATTTCTACTGAAAATACAAGTGCAGGTCCCAAAATGAGGATTTTCATTAAACTTCAGCAGAAGTGAAACAACATTAAATGCCAATAATTACTGTGATATTAAAAGACTTTTCCCCCCACAGTTGTAACAGCAATAAAGGCAAATTTCAAGACAGATCTATCTAAAGAGGGCAAAAGTGTGGGAAGGGCTGTGAATAGATTCTATATGGTCTTGAATGATACCTGCAACATAGAATTTCCCATGTTTGTCTGCGGCTACTCTGCTTGACTACAGATGATGTACCCCTGGAGACGGACTTCTCTTCTGTAGGCCCCCCAAAATACACCAGTTCTTACTACTCTTTTTTCTTGTACTCCTGGATTTTAACTCTCATTTCCCTTTCTCAAACAGCACACTCCTTAAAAGGCTCTCACAAATTTACATTAGCAACTACTCAGAAGTTCTGGATAACCTGAACAGCCAAAAGGCTCTTTTTTTAGTCCCTATGAGTACAACTCTATGAAATCCAGCTAAACAAAGGAAAATGCAGGTTTCCATTTGCCTGATTGATTTATTTACCCATCTGGAAAAGGCAGATCAGCTGACTAGTTCAGATCTTAAGGCTTCAATAAGGGTTTTGGCATGGGGAGGTTACTTGGGCTTTTAAAAGTTACTTCAAAGTCCCCTACACCTGGGGAATCGTTTCTTCCACGCCTCAAGCACATGGAAGGAAGGAACTGCAATCCAGCAACGCTGCACCCAGCACTCAGCTCTTCCAAATCCCCAAGAGCTCGCTCTCCACACACCCTCTGTGGTTAGAGCAGGATAAGGAAGGCTCCTGGAGCGAGCGTTGGGATTGCTGCTCTCTGACCTGATCACAAACACAAGGGCAGCCAATGGCAGGGTCACAGCCACAGCTCTGCCCCACTGCTGGCCACGTGTCTGCTGGGGAACCAAGGGGGAAGTAAATTTTGGTCCAGCCTTTATGATTCCCAGAGCTGATGGAATCACGTCTTACCTGGATAAGAGGTCTGTCATATTCTCCTCATTCATCCCACCAAAGACTTTAAACTTCTTTAAATTGCAGACATGTGTTTTTTCATATTTGCCAAATGTGATGCTCTGGACTATGGCAGGTCTTTCAAGCTTCAGAATCAAATACTGTGGAAGAGAAAACAGTGAGTTTGAATATTAAAGCCAAGGCTGCAAAACACACTAAGGGAAAAACATTACAGCCTCCAAATACTCAGTTTACAAAGCCAGAGAATGAAAGTGAAGCTGAAACCTCCCCATTATGGTACTTTTTCATTGGTCCTGGAATGAAGGAAAGGTTTTTTAAAAATACTATTTTAAAATCAGTTTACCTAGGAAAAAAATTTGGTTGAACTACTTATGCCAAGCAATTCTATTCAGAGCTCACATACATTTCTTTAAGTTGGACTCAAGACTTCCTGAAATCTGGCAAATAGGATCAAACTACAGAGAGTGAAGATTCAAACGCCCACTACAGCTTGAAATGAAACCTAAACTGAATACACAATTAGATAAATACAGTATGTTCCACATGCTAAGAGAACATCAAATTACTTTTCCTCTCTGGGCTGATGCTGTTCAACCACTGAACACAAAGTTTGGTGTGTGGCAAACACAGGAACCAACTGCTTATTAACCATCCCAAATAAAACTGAGCCACTTAATTACAGAAAAGGAGCTTTACATGGAAAATGATGAAAATGTTCTCCCTTGTGAACATTTGCTTTCCTCTCACACTGGGTGGACACAATCTGTGTATGAGTAGTCAGATTATTTATACTCAGGCCACAACTACCAGCTTCACCAGCACTGCTGGAGGAAGAGATCTGTTCCCAGGGAAAAGCAGGAGCAGGGAAGCACTTGCACCATTCATCAGACACCACCAAGTACCTTCCCCTACCAAACAGCTCTTGGGAGAATCTGGAGACACCTTGGTTTTTTTCACCTTGAAGAATACATGAAGTTTTGTATCTGAAAACAATGTATTTCACTCTTTTCCCTGATTTCTCAGAAATAAGCAGTGCACCACAGAGGCAAAGCACAGAATGACAATTACTCATCGTGCTGGATTTTGTTACAAAGCCCTGTCATCAGGACTCCAGCTCAAGCAGATCAGCACGTTGTAGGACACCTCCCACCGCAGGCTCTGCTGGTGGCCCTGTCCTCCAAGCAGCAGCACTGCCAAGCCAGGCTTGATGCCTGACTTTTGGTCTTTCATCAGCATCAAGCAGAGATGTTTGCATCAGTGTGGCTGCTTTCTGCAGATCCTGAGTAGTATCTCCTATGCTAAATATCTTAGGAGAGTATCTACTATCCTAGACACCATCAGCAGGGCAATCTTACCCTACAAAGGTAACTTTTGAGAGAGCAGCAGAAAAAACTTGCTCATCCATTTAGTTCTCAATCTTTTTTTTTTCTTTTTCTCTCAGTCGGAGAGTATCTACTATCCTAGACTCCATCAGCAGGGCAATCTTACCCTACAAAGGTAACTTTTCAGAGAGCAGCAGAAAAAACTTGCTCAAACATTTAGTTCTCAGTCTTTTTTTTTTTCCTCTCAGCACTATAAAGCAAATAATTCTCAATCTAGGAGCAGTACTGATATTGCTCTGGAGAGCACCAGGACAAAGGTTTGACCTCAATGGCTGGTTCCTACTACACTTACAAAAAGCTTAGATTCACAGAAATACTTGTACATAGAGCAGTTACAGATAAGGATGCAGACTGGATAGGTACTAATAGCAGACTTAATGTCAAAGATGCTTCCAGCATCTCAAGTTTTTTCAAAATTAAGAAAATAAACCAGTAGCAGCAACTGTGAGGGTACAACAGAAGAACACTTCAGCGCTCTTCCAAAAACTTTTAAACACTTTTGTGAAGAACACCATCCATCTAAATGTCAGAATCTGCCGTTTATGGAAGCCATGCTGTTGTCTCAAAGTACTTCCCAAACTTCAAGGAAAAAACCCCACTAAAATTCTATAGAGAAAACTGATTTTCTAAAGAGAAGAAAGGAAAGGATGAGCAAAAGGACGGTCCTTTAATGAGCAAGGCAGCACTTGATACATGGCACAGCCCGCTGCCAAAATTCCCATACAGAACAGACAGTACACAATGTCTAAGAACTCCTCCTACACCATCATATCTTCGCTGCAGATTTCTCCCAAAGCTGGAAAAGCGAAGCCAGCACTACCAGCAATTGCAATTCTTAATCCTGCTGGAATCCCACACCTAATGCCTGGGCCATGAACACATACTTTCTCAAGCACCACACAAGATTTGCAAAAACTTGGCACAAACGTCATCCTGCATTATTCAATTCTTACCCTAAATTAAAGGAGAGAAAACCAGGACTGCAGTTAAATCCTTTATGCCTGGAAGGGAACAAGGCACAGCAATTACTCCACATGGCCAGCAGTGATTTCTTAACCCTACAGATAGGGAGGGAACTCTGCCGCCCTCCTTCCCACGTCCACACATCCCACCACCTGCTGAGTCATGCAGACTTATAGAAAATAGAAGCACAAAAGCTAAACTCCACCTTTTTTTGTGAATTATCTGCTGATTGACACGGAAACAAAGGACAGATCTGCTATAAAATCCTGTACCTAGATATGTGTTTTTCTTGTTTATAATGTATATACACACACATCAAACTGAAAGACTTTGAAACTAAAAGATATATTTAGATTAGCTATTAGGAATAAATTCTTTACTGTCAGGGTGATGAGACCCTGTGAATTCCCCATCCCAGGAAGGTCCAAGGCCAGATTGGACAGGACTTGGAGCAACCTGGTCTAGTGGAAGGTATCCCTGCCCATGGCGGGGGGCTTGGAATGAGTTGTTTAAGGACCCTTCTAACACAAACTATTCTGTAATTCCATGATATATGTAAAAACACAGAGATGTACTTTTTGGGTTTCTATACAAATACACACCACTGCCACTGTGTGGGTACCAGCTATGAACCTCACTGATCCTGAAAAAACACACTGCCTCAAGAGCTGCTAACAGCTGGCTGCATGGATATTTTTGGACTGCTACCAGGATTTTAGCTGTGACAGACTATTCTCTGTAGCTCTAAAAGATGTGACAGAAGTGTCTGTAGGATCAAGTGATTTATTCAACCTGGAAAGAGAACAAGTCTATGAGATTTCAGGCAAATACATCAAGATATTTGACACTTTTTCCATTTTATTGCTGTGAGTAACATCAGTACATTTAATGTCCACGTATTCATGCAGTATTCCAAAAATCCAAATTATAACTGAAGTGTTTGTCCATTAGAACATGGCACACAAATACTAACTGGCATGACTGAGCAGAAACCTCAGCCCAGTTGTTAGGCGTCAGATCACAACACTAACAAAAAAAATGCTATAAAGCACTAAAGGAGGAAAACTGTCTTCTGATTATCCAACACATCTGTAAGCAAACATGCACAAAGAGCAGAGTAAGTCACACATGGCACTTCAGCATCCCAACAGCTGCTTACAGTGCACCCCCAAAAAAAGCAAGTCCAGCCTTGTCACACTTGGAGCTGCAGCAAATTCCAAACTTTTTCAAAGCTCTGGTCTGTGCTACTATTTAATGACAACCATATGCAGGCTGCTGCATCACACAACAGAGTGTAAATTTTATTAATGTACTTTAAATTAATTCCTGATACAATCTACACAGCAGCATGGAAATCAGAGGAAAACTGGTCTTCAGATGCAAAACTGAAACCAATTGTCTGGACAATGCCACTAACTTTATGCATATGATCTTCAACTGTTCAAAATCCACAATTCCACAAGACTGGAATTACCTGTACAGGGAGCAGGTGACAGTCACCATTCCTGAAGGTGTCTAAGAAAGAAGTGGATGTGGCATTTAACAGGTGATGATTGGTAAAGGGTTGGACTCCAATCACAGAGGTCTACTCCAACCTAATTGATTCTGTGACCAAATATGCTGAAATAGATTCCAGACTGCACTACACAAGTTGCCTGTACAATTGGAGTCACACAATCTTTTACCAATTTCTTTCTCTTCAACCAGTTCTGTTCAAGCGTATGTTTTGATTAGGGGAACAGTGAAACTTGCATTGCATGTAAAAATAAAACCCACACAATAACAAAATAACAAGGGATCCCCTTGTCCACAACACAAACATCTTGACTGCTCTTGCAATTAAGTTGGTGGCTAAATAAAAATCTATGCTCTTGTTCTACATGTTATTAATCAAGCCACTCATGGGAATTAAGTGCTCTGCACAGTCTTCCACATTAGACCATCACTGGAATCATCAGAATGAGCCTTTCTGACAGGGCCATGGTCTTCAGCATCACCAGCCTCATTGCTTCACACTTCCAATGTAAGCCGAGAACAGCAATAAAAATAGAACCATCAGCCCTCTCCTGCCTGAATAGGTTACTACATAACAGGTTTGTTATTAAATATACAATTTCTGGGTCATCTATTTCAAGACTCAAGAAAGATATCTACTTTAATAAACAGAAAAACAGCTGTCAGATGTATTTCCTTTCACTGGCACTCATTCATAACCAACTGGTGGCTTTCGTGGCCACGGGAATTATTTAACTCTACCATACCCATGAAGCCAGGCAAACCCTTTACTAAATATAGTCACGTGGCAGCACTTCAAGTGCCTACACTTCCACTTTCATTTTCTTTCTCCTTTTAAAAAGGTTTGCTATGGACTTTAGCACATTTATTGCATTTTCATTGAGTTTCTGAACACATCTTGATGGTTTTGCCTATGTTCCTCTGATTCGTGCTCTGAAAGAAAAGGTGCCTGGAAAGGTTTTGTTTCAGTCAACGAGGGAAGGGAATAAACCAATGTTTAGGGACTCACTCATATTTTTACCCTTAAGCCAGCACAGCATCATCACCTCAGCAGGGAATTGCTAAAGCCTGGCATTAAGGTGAGGCACTGAGAAGACAAACATGAGCGATCAGAGCTGCAGAGCTTATTAAAATATCTCACATTGAGCACGCTGGACATCAGTTCTTGTGCTGTGCCTAAGCCCTGGTTTCAGCTAATAAAGCTGGAACAAGGAGAGCTTTATTTCCCTGAGTTTTAGTTTGCTTCCTGTCCAGACCATAACGGCCACCCACACGCTCAAGCAAGTGCGTCACTGCACGAGTGACCAGTTTTTAAATGGAGAGCTGCCAACACAGCACCTATGAAATGCTTTCCAGCTTTATTTCCAATAGGATCCATGATGTTTACTCCAGAGATTAAAAGTCATTTGCATAAATCAACATTTATTTGGAATATGAACTATTCAACTTGATTTTTTCCCAAATTCTCTCCTCACCACACTTATAATTCAGTCATCCACTGTTTCAACTCAAGTTTTCCAAGCTAAGATTCTGCTGTAACAACTTCAGCCACTGGGAAAAGAACAAGGAAGCAGAACACCTATATAAATGTTTTTCCTGCATTTAATTTGGCAGTCTTTCAATGGACAAGGTGCAAGAACTATTTCAATCAAAATGCAACCAAATCTGGAGTTCTTTCATCTGTCAAATATGAGACAACACAAATGGGAACTGCTTCTGTATGCACAGAAGTAACAAAAACTTCACTCTTTGCACACAGGACTCTTCTGCAGATTTTCCCCACTTCCTCTTTCCAGCTGATTTTTCAACAGAGAAATTAAATCATAAAAAATGCTTAACATGAATAATTAAACACTCAGATTAGAAACATGAGAATTAGCTGCAGTATATAGTACTTTATATAGCATAAAGGCGCTGCAAATACATCATCTCTCTTACTCAGTGCTCAGGATTGGATTTGCTGAACACATGAGCAACTACACAGTACTTTATATTCTTATTATTAGATACAAAGATTCAAGCAACAGGATACAGCAACATGGTCTTTTCCAGCCAGGCAGCTACATTTTCTGTTAGTTTTGTCTTTAAGTAAGAGAATAAAACTCCAATACTGTCTTGCCAATCTCAGTTGCCACATGAGGACTTTTTTTTTTTTTTTTTGCAAGCCAGGCCTTAATTCTGGATACCTAATATATGTCTTGGTATGTGACACAGAGGTAGACAATGCCAGTGTTAATTCATCTCTCTCCTACCAAGAAGTTTGGGCTAAATGCCTTGCTTAGCATGCAGAGCAGTGCCCAACTCCCCACGTTTGGAGTCAAGTCATTCTGCAATAGTATCTCCATTCAGGTCACGACTCGCACACATGAAATTTTTGGAAGACATCTCTTTAACAAGCTCATGTGGTTTGTACAGAAGTCTGCCACTCTAATTAATCCCTGCTTCATCTACATGTCTGAGTATAACCTGCATCACTCCTTGTCAGCCTTAAGTATAAACTGGGAATATTCTAAAGCATCCACTTCCAGGAGGTGTGTTTCCATTCCAGAATCAGATTTTTAAAAGGACTGAATATTCAGGATGGCTCAGAAACTGCAAGAGTGAATTTAAGCGACAAATAAGAACACATCTCAGATGAAAAACCCAGTCCAAAGACACACCATGAACCAACTTTGCCTTGGGAACAAAAGCACCCCAAGAAAAACATGTGCTTCCTGCATAAAAGAAGGTAAAGGATGGCACAGGCTGGGATACAATCCATGCTCAATACTCATTACCCTGCAATCCATTGTTCCTAGATAGACTAAACTGCTTCAGGCTATGGATTAAAATCCTACATTGTTTATCAAAATATAAATAAGTAAAATAATCAAATTCAAAGAGCAGTAGATGCACAGAGGCATCAAGAGGATCAATATCAGTCTTCACAATTAGATTTAAGGAATACAAAGGATACCTTTCCTTCTCCTCTAAAAGTCCCAAAAACCTAATTTTACAGACACAATGACACAAGAGGATTGATCAGAAAATCCAGGTGAAAGCTCTTCAGTGGCAGCAGATGACCTGCTGCTCTAGGGAGCCACAACTGCAGACTCTGGACCTTTAACACAACTCCAAGACAAAGCAGCAAGATTTACCTGGAGAAAGATCCTGTGAGATTTCACTCATGAGGAATACTTGGATTAAATAAATAGATAAGCAGAACTTTGCATGAGAGGGACACAGTGCAAGTCACTCTGCTGTGTATCAGTGCTTTAAACAAAGAATTGAAAACAAGCAGCATAAGAGACACAGAAGCTGATCACACATGCCAGAGTAATAAGGTACAGCTCTAACACAGAGAGAAGGATAACTTCACTGGAGAAAAAAAAAGTGGAAAAGAATATTCTGGATAATCTAACAACCTTAATAATAGCGAGAAAGCAAATTAGATGCTAAAATCAATACAAATCTTATTTTAATAAGGTGCTTAAGCAGCAGAAGAGGTGACATTTGTGTCTCTAACCAGAGGCCACATTTCTGAACGTGCTATAAGGAGAAACAAATACCAGCTCCTCAGATCTGGGATTCAAGGCCAAGAACCTACAACAGCCTCCAGTAGTGCTGACAAAGGGGGACCTGCACGCCTCATTAGCAGCTTAATCTCACCATAAGGTTTGATTATTTCCAGCACGACCATGACTGCCAAGGAGGAAACCTGAAACTTCCCCCGCAATGAAGCACTTCTAGAAGGATCACAAATTGCTGGAAATGTAAATATCTCATGTACCAACAACCTGCATTTTACTCAGAGAAGGAAGCCTATAAATATGTTGATGTCAATAGCAGCAGCCCACATTTAAAATAAAAACCCAGCCTACATTACATAGAGCAGCACAGATTCAGGAGCTTACCTGGGGAGGATAATTGCTTTCTGAAGACCATCTTGAGGACTGATCATTTGGTCTATCCACCAAGATATTCCTAAGAAACAAGAAGCCAAAAGTAATTTAAGTAACAGCTGCATATTTTCATCTCCAATAAATTGTTGTACATTCAGACCAGTAGCATTCTCATGCAACTACCTAAATCATTAGGTACAGACTCAGGTTCTCCTCCTTTTTTATTAAAGATTTTCTAAATTGCTATTTTACAGGACCCATCAAAATACGCCTTCCAGCTTTGTGGTTGTGAAACAGAGCTCTAAGTTGCGAAATAAAAAAAAAAATAAATTGTGACATAAATGTAAAACAGATGAATTTACATAGGCTTAAGTCTGTAATGAAGTGGAAAAAAATGGGCTTATACACCTCAGTAGGGTAAGAACTTTTCAGTAAGGTCAAAATGCTGAGCAGTTGGAGGGTTAGTGAGCCAAAAACCCTCCTTTAGTAGATAGGCAATACTGGAAGGGAGAGAAAGGGCTGCTAACCCACTTAAGCTTTCCTGGAGCACAGAAAGATGACCACCAGAGCCATGCCAAATTTTAACAAGTATTTTTCACGAGCTACAAGCCCAGAACAACATACAAAAAAGTAGAAGTTCAACGCTTCAACCAGCAAAATTTACTTGCTTTCTTCACTTTGAAACAGTACAATACTTAGGTATTTAATAAATTCAAAATAGTTATTTTTTGGCTAAAATGAAAAGAGATTCATCATGACAGTGACATGACACATCTGCTTTCTCTTCTATAACCATGCAATAAAGCTCACATCCCAGATTAAACTAAAAAAAAAACAAACCTAAAAATCCCTAAAATATATATAATTATTGGCAAGGTGACAATACACCACCTGCTGGACAGGGCTTGTGAGCTCCACCACTTCCAACAAATGAACTCGTCAGCTCATAAAACTTATGTAAAAAGAAGGAAACAGTCATCAAAAGGCTTCTGCCATCTCCATCTGCTGTGTAGGAGGAAAAGAACATGAGCATCTGGATTACTACAAAGGGCTGGAGGAAAAAGCACTCCAATGAAAGCTCCAAAGGGAAAGAGGTTAAGGCAGAGGTTGAGCATTACCAGACAGAAATCAGCTGGCTCTTTCCACACTGGGCAGCCCAAAATCACTGCAGTAGCAACGGTATCCAGGCAGTCCCATGATGGGACAAGGGACAGCCAGGAGCCACACCAGGGTGGCCTCTTAAATCTGAACACTTTTGAGAGCTGGCCAAGTGGCTGTGTCTATCCACAGGCTTGGAGAACACCTCTGGATTTTCACACAGTGCAGGAATAAAACTGAAGTTCTCCCTCCCTTTAGCTGATTCCCATCATAGCACAGCATTTATTAACACAGCGCCAACCCAGGTCTGTGGCTGCTTTATTCAGCCATCCCCACTTGGGAAAATGCAATGGAACAGCACTGCCCTCTGCTCCAACCCCATCAAACATAAAAACATGGCTCTACATAATTCAACATCCAGCTAACAACATCATCTGCACTGCAAAGAGGCTCAATTACAAGAGAGAACCTGGCCCTGGCTTTAATAACAACTGGGACAAAACAAACTGATCTAAGCAAAGGGAAGAATTTGGGAACTGAGACACAAATTTCTAATAAAAGCTGTTAGTCTGAAAGCTAAGTCCCCATTAGAAACCACAAGACACTTCTTTTGAGAAGAATCACCTGCAGTCTCCTGTACCATGCCACAGGCAAGACATGGTATTTAATAAATTCTTGACAGGTCTTAGAATCTGGAGAGAAAAAAAATGCTGAATTTAAAGATATGTATCTTATATTAAATACTTTAGGGATACAAAGGCAGATAAAACCAGATAATGCCGTATGGCTTTTCTCCTTTATGGAACTTTATCCTAATCCTGGAACACAAGAAGACAAGTTACCCTACGGAATAAATTTTATTTATGATTCCATTACATTTGTTTAAACATTAGACAATAAACTCTTCATACACTGAGCAACACTCGCAGGAATTGGCACTGCTGCATGGTCAGATAATGCCCAGCTGGAAAGAGGCATTTTGTACCTGGGACAGATCCCAAATATCATATTTTTAGAAGCAGATTTGTTTGCTTCTCCAGGTCAAAGATCAGTTTTGCCACAACCAAGGAAGATCTCAATCACTCAGCTAGACGAGATAAAAACCTTCCACAGAGAGAAAAGGGACAGGCAGCTCACACAAAATAAAGGCTAAAAAGAAATGTGAAAGATAAAGATAGCGGCATCAATGGAGTTAGAAATGTTTAAAATATGTGGGTTATTAATTAATTAAGATTAAACAAACGTTGAAGACAGAAGTCCATGTGTACAAAACCATACCATAACAGCTTAGGAAAATTTATGGACTTGGAGGAATTCAAGCACTGCAGCAGCCGTGAGGCAATAAGAAACAAACAAATGCATGTCCTAACAGCAGATGCCTTTTTCCATGTAAAGCCCTTTTTCTGGACATCACAAAACTCCTACACAGTACCCGGAGGGAGGCTTTGCAGATATGACACCTAGATTAAAATCTGAGAAACTTTAGAAGTGAAAATTCCATTAACACAACGACTTTCCATGTAATTTTCACAAGACATTAAAAAAGGTATTTGTAAGCCCTCGAGCTACCACAAGTACCAATGGTTTTACGCAAGCTTTTCCTGTGAAAAAAAGCAACCAATTAAACGTGGTTTGAGATAACTTCTCATCAGCTGTGGGTACAAGATCAAGTCTAGCACGAATCTACAACACTGCCAAAAGGACCACCCCACCCACTCGCAAAGGATCCTCCCCCTCCCTACACCAGCAGCTATAATAAAGATTTGCATAAATAACTTATTTTGGCAGATCAGTTCTCCAGCTCAGCTCCTACCAGCACCAGCACAAACTGGGACTAAAAGATGAGCAGCTGGATTGGGACAAGGGATTCTCACTGGAGTGAACTCCCAATCCCCCATTCCCACTGGAAAGAATCTACTAAAAAATGAGATTACGTGATGTTGGAACTCTGGATGCTGAGAACTTTACACCCTCTTTTAGAACTTTCGAACCCTGCTTTTAGAATTTTAGCACCTCTGCTATGAAAAGCAAAGCAGGAAGGGCCATTTTATTAACATCACAAGCAATTGCAGAGGCAGCCCTGGTGTGCCTTATTTCCTAACCTGGCTGCCTGCACAGCTCCCAGCAGCTAAGCCTCACTGTGAGCATTCCCATCACTAAAGAGTGGATGGTTCCATGCAGAAAGCTCTTGGCAGAGCACGGAGCAAGTTTCTTTTCATTACCCAGGCAGACACTGGTCTCACAACTGCTGGAAGGAGATAATTTTTCCTTTTACCGACCCAGAAACTGTCATATCCTTTGTGCCAACTGTTGGCTGATCTCTGCTGGAATGACAGAGACGTCCCCATGCCTGGGAACTTCTCTGTGCAAAGAGCTCTGTGGGTTCAGGCACGACAGCCACTAAGGGAGAGCTTTCCTTTGCTCCAGTGGGAAAGGGAGAAATAAGATGACTTTGCAGAATATGCTGCAAATTAGGTTTAAGGCTGCTATAATTTGCATCTAACCTAAATATTTTCATGGAGCTGCTATTAGGGAAATCCATGAGTTTAGGAACAAGTCTTTAAGAATAAACAAATCCCAAACACTCTCTTTGCTTGGCACATTCATATGGCTCTTCAGAGAGCAGCTGTGCAGGAAAGGGCACAGGCTTTACTAAGAGGACTTGGAATTCAGACTCTCTTCTAAACCACAGAGCTACCATGCCATTACACTGCAAAAAGGCACTTGGAGTGCTAGGAAAACACAGACTGCCTAGAAATGGACTAAATACTTGCTCCAGGTTTGTCCACGTGATGATTCTTTCAGTTTTTCCTACAACCATCCCAAAAGAGATTGGGAAGAATACAGCAACTGGAATACACGGACTAGAATTTCCACTGTAAGACGTGGTGGACCAAACTATTCCAAACATGCAGAACCCTCACAGCAGCCAGCAGACAGCATCCATGGAGATAATCCTGCCCAGCCTAGACACTGGAATGTACACACAGCCTTAACCAAGAAAAACAGGGGGAAAAAAAACCTACTTACCACCTAACAACCCAATGGATCTGGAAAGAAATACACAAAGAAATGTAGTGGGTTTTTTTAATCCTGCAACTCCCATAACTCACTACAAGCCATGCTGGTTTCAAACTACCTGGCTGCAATGTTTGAAAATCTGCATGAACCTACAGCTGCCCCCATAAAACAAGTCCAAAAACACTTTTTAGGTTCTGCTACAGTTTCTCTCCTTCTCACTGGAAAAGTTCTCTGCTCAGAGGGGCAGAAGGATGTAAAGACATAGAAATTCCTTGATTGAAAAACAGTAAAAATGGGAAGTTATTATGCAGATCCATTGAGGAAAAAATGGGGCGTTTTGGGGTTGCTTTTTTACAATACAGAACTTCTTAACCTCTTGCATAGCAAAACTATGTTTGAATAGAACATGCACAGGAGCACAGTTTTCAATATTACAATGTCACGATATTGGCCAACTTTCTGCTCAATTCTGCTTCAAGTGCTCACACTGTCATCCAGTATATTATAAACCTATTCCTATAAAAATAAAATAGCTTAGTTAATACAGCATTGCAAAAATAAACTGAAGAATTTAGAAATCTTACAGAAATATATTCATCAGATCACAGCTGACTATACTGGTCAACAAATCTGGCATTACTTAGCTCTGGCCCAGAAACAGCCCAGTTAAAATCATGTTCTCAATTTTTTCAATGAAAAGTTTGCCTTTGTTTTTTAAGGTGCCTATCATCACTGTCAGACCAACCTAACTTCTTCTTAAATGCTAAATGACTCTGTCACAGACATTTCCAGTAAAGCAAGATAGGAAGTATTTTTTATCACTCCCCCCATCTAGTTAAGACTTTAAAACAAGACTTTTTTGATTCATCAGTTCTTCCTGGAGACATGAAAGGAATTAAATAGTAACAAGAGTGACTAAAACTGCAGCAGTGTAGTGCAGGATGTTACAGAATCACTTGGGGT